CTGTCAGGGACCCCTAAGCTGTTTAGTTCCTCCCCTGGTTGTTAGGCCCCCCCTTTTATTTTTAGTAAAAACCCAGGTCATGGGCATCCATGAATTTTTGTCTGTTGCCCGCAACCTGTCCATTTCTAAAAATAACGGTGACAAAATCTTTACCTTACTGAGGAATTAAAGGAACAAATAATAAAAATGCAGAACAAAATAATCCTTATGTTAAGAAAATTGTTGAAGTGGCTGCAGATAGCTTGACTGGAATACCAAAAGTAAACATGTTGTTTTCAACTTTTAGAAAATTGGTACAGAGGAATTAAACATTGAAAAGAAGTTGCCATAGAGTAATCTTTCATTGGTTTTATTTGGGAAACCATTCTATACAGTAGACTCTCTGTTTCTGTGTTGCGTAACATCTTGGCTTTTGTTTTTTTGTGTGTATGTATATTATACTAAAACAAGACTCCACTGTGTCTTCGTTGGTTTTAATCTGTTTATTTACCACCTGGTAAAAGTCATCTACAAACAGTGATGAGATTGATGGTATTCTTTCAAACTGTGTTTTTCATTCTGACAAAATAAGATGAGACATTAGATTGTTCTGATCTTAATAATAGGATTGCTCCAGTCCTTTCTTGCAGGCTTTTATCAGCAATTTAAATAGTTAACAATGTTGGCATTAAAATTTGGCTTCAGAATGGTCACACCCTTAGCATAGGGGTAGTTCATACTTAAGTTAGAGCTGTTGTTTTGAGGCTGCTAGCAGACCAAGGCAGACCTCAATTTTATAACCATAAGGGCTAGAGACTTCTTTTTTTATAAAAAAGCTTACGCCTTGTCTACATGAAATCTTGAGTTTGTGGTAAGCTGAGGTGTGAATGTAGCCTGCTGTGGACTGACCGTGTGAACCCTGCTGGCGTGCATTAACAGTTTGTTAATTAACAAACTGTTAATGCACATCAGCAGGGTCCACAGGGACAGTTAGTCTGCAGCCGTCTAGTGCAGTGTAGATTCACATCCTGGCTTGCCGTAAACTAAATGTTCATGTGGATAAATCCTAAGATTTTGGATCACAAGGTGCAGCCAGTAGACTAAAGTAAAAGCTCATTGAGCATACACTCAGCTTTAGTGTTTAGTAATTTTGTAATAAATAGTTTGCAAAACAAAAAACCTTGTTTTTTCATTGCCTGAACCATTGTGAACATAGCTCTGTTGTGTTTATCAGTTCACTTGCTGTCAGCCCCATTAGACTGTTCCATGCTTTCTTTTTCACAATGGCTTTTGAGTTTGTGGATTCTTGTAGAGACATGATCAAGACCTTTGAGAGTATAGGCTTTTAAACTTGATTTCCTTGCAATATCACCATGTTGATCACTGACAATATTCAGTGATGTCAGTGATTGAATTAAAATAATAATTCTGACAAATGTTTGCCTTAACTGCTAAAACCTGAAAGGATTGGGAGGTCAGCTTTAAACTCTTTTATGATTGAGTTGGTTCTTAATACCCATTTCACTAATACTGGTTTGGGGGTTTAGTACTAACGGGCTCTTACCCACTCAACAAAAGTGGCCGTGAATGTTTAACAAATGGAGCATTTATGTCTAAAAACCCTCTTAGATGCAGGAAATATCACCAGGAAAATCTGCATGATGAAATGGAAGAGATTCTCTATTTGACCTTCCTGAAAAGGAACCATGAAAAGTCTTCCATCTGTTCAGTTTTGGTCTCTTTACTGTCCCTTAAACAGTTTGAACTTTCATTGAGCTGTCTCATTCCTTTCGGCTGCCATCTTGGTATTTCTTTCTCCGGTATAGGACTTATCTTTGTTGATCCTAGAGTCATCGGGTTTCTGAAAGGCATTGTCCATATAGTTCCTCTGACACATGAACCACATCCTCTTCTGTCATGGGATTTGATCTTCCACTAATGAAGCTTATGGAGCCTTCATCTGAACTCCTGTCTGACTTTTCTTTGAACTGTCACTTTGTGAAAATGGTGTTCTTCCCAACTGTAACATCTGCATGGAGGGTTAGTGAAATCCAAGCCTTGATGGCTGACCCTTACCCTCACCACAGTGTTCCCTTTCACAGTTTCATAAGAATAAAGTGGTCCTGTGTCCCCATCCTAAACTCCTTATTAGAGTGATCTAACTTCCATCTCAGGCTATAAATTTGTATTTTTCTCTGACCTCATTCACATGCTGAAGATGTCAGGTGACGCGCTCTAGAATTGAAGAAAAGGCCCTTTAATTATTTAAATATTATCAATTTGTAAGTCTCCTTAAGAATTTCTGGCATGTGGGGTAAATCCAGGGGTTAGTCTGTCCTTCAGAAGTTTGTCTGAATGGATTTAAGTAAACATACTAATTTGTTATGCCTTGGTGGGTGTTCAGCCATCTGAAAATATCAGAACACACGCCTCCAAGTCCAGAGGTGCCTTGGTTGCATGCCTTAGTTGGGAAACTAAGTTGATTGATTGCATGCCTTAGTAATGTTTCCATCACTGTCATTTTGTAGTCTGTTACTTCAGGATTTACCTATACACAATCTGATACAGCATTATTCTTCAGGCAATTGTAATTCTTCAGATTATAGTTCATACTCCTCACCCACCTTCTCAATTTCTTCAGAATCTTGATATTGATTCTTGAATTAGTGGAAGGAACTCAGTGACGTTTGTGGCCTTGCCCCTTTTTCAGTCTTCAGATTTTGGCAAGTCACATGAGGATGTTTGCGCATGTGACTTTCTCAGCTAAAATTTATAAATTAGTGCTCTAGGGAACTATGTCTTCTAAAAATGGGTTTCCCTATAGGTAGTCGTCTTGAAGAACCAGTTACCAACTTCACCCAGAGAGATCTGTGTCTTGGAGAATCCATCTTCTGAATTTGCCAAATGGATTTACAGCATTAAGAGGCTCTGAGAATAAGTTGCATGAACATAAAATATCTGGTGTCTACAACTTTCAGACTAGTTGATTCAATAATAGTCCATAAGATTTGAGATGTGTTGGGTGGTAGTGCTGTCACTTGATTTCTGGAAGATGTCAGCTTCAGATGTAGAAGGAAGCTTGGAGTTGAGGGCAAGGGGAAATTTGATGGATACTTTCATGTATACCCCTGTGAACAAATAACTTTGCACAGCTGAACCCATATGGAGTAAAGGTCACCTAAACGCCATTTCCCAAAAATAACCCTGTCCTGCTCAGATCATATAGCTGCACTCAGCAACATTCTCTATTGGTGTTTCCTTTATAAATCACTTTTCTGGTGTTTATAACCCACCCAAAAAGAGAGGTGCACCATTTTTTTTCCCCTTCAGCATTCTGAAAAGTTACATTTTGAGCCCTTAACTTGCATACATTGTCTTTAATCTTTATTAAAACGTGTACAAGTCACCTCTTTATTTACAAGTATATATAATTTTCCAGCTTGCTGTGACTCTGTAAAGGTTTATCCAATAATAATTTACATCTTGTTTTTACACTTGCCTACATTTAGAAGAACTTGAAGATCTGACATTTAAGACAAAATGTTTAATGAACCCAAAACTCATATTAATTTATATTAATGTTAAAACCACACATATTAGTGTGAAATGAGATTGTCCTGCATCTGATTGATGTTACAAATAGGGTGTCTTGTAAGCAAAATAGTGACTACTGACTGCATGGTAACTACTGGTATTTTTATGCCATTTACAGGGGAAAGAGCTAACTGTTTTTCTATAAAATCCCTTGGAAACTTCGGAGTTTTTTTTTAATTTTAAAGAGCAAGTTTAATGTTAAGTGGTGTGGAAGAGGTGGGGGGCTGGAGAGACAGTAAAATTAGAGTGGGAATAAAATGTTAACAGATTAATTTGGTTTGAGGCATTTCATATTTACCTCATTCCCTTCATGGAATGAATGATGGCTTTTATTATTCAGCTTTAAATTGTTAGTTATTTCTTAAATGCTACATTTTGATATATGAAGGAACTTAATTTTTATTACTAGAAATCCCAGCCATATCATTAGTTGTCTGATACAATTAATTACCTATTTTCATTTCCTAATAAGTAATTAACTGTACATTAAACAATTAATGATATGGCTGGGATTTCTAGTGGTGATAAACCTGGCATACAATAAGTGGCTTAATTATTTAAAAAATTAAGAATAATTTTTTTCATGTTACTGTCCAACAATGTGAGAAATTTGAACTTTGATTTCTGCTCCTAAGCCTCTAGCTTCCTGAAGATCAATACTTCATTCATTGACCCTTCTGGCTAAATCAGAAGTGGCATTAAGTGTCTGAAAAAGACCCCATTCCTCCTCTGGAATCATGCTACAGTGTATTGTCCATAAGGGTAAGGAATAAAATAGAGAAAAATGAGGATTTAATTTAGGGCTCCAGCAGGGACACTCATCTTGTGCCTTTTCGTCCAAGAATTTTCCATTTTTCAATAATAGTTGACTTTGGTAATTTCCCCCTAAATATTAAGCTTTGTTTTTATAAATCCTTCCAAATGAGATTTGGGCTTTGGCCTATGGTATGCATCTGTTGTAAGGTCTTTAAATTGTGTTTGTTACTGCTTATGTTTTAACTCAAAACATTGCTAACTTGGGCCTTTGGTTTGGCAAACACATTTGTGCTTAATGCTATGCATGTGAAAAGTCTTATTGAAGGCAATAGAACTATTCATGTGTATAAAACTAAAATCTGTTAGTGTTTGTAGGCTTAGGCCTTTATCAACACTTGCTTTCAGTTGTAACTCTTTTGCCTGGTAATGGCATCTTTAAAAATTCCAATATGGAATAAAAATTCGTACTCATTTTTGTGGTTTTGTTCTTGCCCTTACAACTGCTGCTTGCTGTCAAATTGATTTTTTTTTTTAAATATGTACAAGCTGTTCATTAGAATCAGGATCTGTTTTTGTGGAGAAAGTATTGAATCAGGTATTCAAATACATTTTACAAAGCTAAGTGGTTAAAAAGCTGCCTGACTTTTTTATTACTTTCAATTAATTTATAGGCAGAAGCAAGGCTTGCAGCCAAACGGGCTGCTCGAGCAGAAGCAAGAGATATACGTATGAGAGAACTGGAACGACAACAGAAAGAGGTAATGTTGATTTTGCTATGCTTTATTATTTGGTACTAAACTTCTTAATGAACTGCTTTGTATTATGTTTCTTAAGAAAAGTTATTTATATTTCTCAGTATAGTACAGCCATATATCAGCATTTCCTGCATAGGGTAGCCATTACTATAGCTTTTTCCAGTATAGTGTTGGAATTCAAATGAGTAATTTGCTCCATTCCTATCTCTGCACATGCGTGGATAGCACTGCATGTATATAGTCATATTAAAATGTTAATTTTAAACTTCATTAATAACAAAGGACACTAAATCAAAAAGGGCATCAGCTATTTAAATATGACTGTAACACTTCTGCTTACCATACGACTACAAAAATACCTTTTGAAACTTATTGACAGGTTTCAGAGTAACAGCCGTGTTAGTCTGTATTCGCAAAAAGAAAAGGAGTACTTGTGGCACCTTAGAGACTAACCAATTTATTTGAGCATGAGCTTTCGTGAGCTACAGCTTATGTCTTGTCTAATTTGGCCTGGGACTCCAGTCGTTGGAATGTTTTTGTAATAAACAGCAGTTTTATATAATATAACTTTAACAAATGCAATAAATTAATTGCTTAAAAACAAAACTGCTCAAAGACATACTCACCTAAATGTTTTGCTTTGAAAATGGACTGTTGTCCTTTTAACTTTATAATTTATTTTCAGTAAACAGTACATAGCGCAAAAGCCAGTGCCCATATAACTAATTTTGAGTAGACAAGAAGGCTATTTTAATGCTTTAATTAAAGGAACATCTTTAATTTGAAATCCAGACAGTTTTATAAAATGAATTTAAAAATAATTTAAAATACCAAACCTACCCCTGTGTCAGCTGACAGTTCATGTTGTTTTACGTTTTTAAGATGTTTTCTGTCTCTACTGTTGCTGTGGAAAACCCACTAGGTAAGCAGGGGTGTCTGAGAGATTGCACCGAAAATGCTGTCAATTGCTCAAAGTAAACAAACTGAAATAGCAGAGAAAATATTTTTTTCTCTAATCTTATTTATAATAATCCTGGTGATTACCTGTAAAAATAAGTCACACTTCTGTCTGAATTTTTTTCCAAGTTGACGGTGTTCTGTTAAACATGAAAAGAACAAATCTGCAACCATGGTACTCGTCTGAGTAATCTGTACAAGAGCATTTGGACATAAGATAAACAGTTAATTGAAAAGTTTTTTTTAACAGGACTCCATGTTTAGGATGAAAAACCTTAATGGGTATCATGGGAACATTAATTAAAACTGATACATAGACTGTGGTGAAATAGTCTTTTCACTTAACATACTTGTGGGATAGTATGCCTCTTGGCCCTAGTGAAGTGAATTGGAGTTTTCCCTTTGACTGCAACGAAACCAGGATTTCATCCCTCCCTCTCTGTTAAACAATAAACACACGAGCCAGTTCTGTAGACTATTCTGATATTCTTGCATTTATAATAATAAAAATGACATTCACTTGAAATATGAATTAAAAAATGGCAGTCTCTCTTAAATTCTTCCATAGTGTTGTGAGAATTTGACAATTTGGTGTGATGGTATGGAGTGAATTAGAAATCAAGGCAGAATGTCTTAATGAACTTTTTTAATATTTGGCTTTAATTATTCTAATTGTGTTACCTAAAATAAATTTACAGATCTGATATTCTGTGGACAATTACATGCGACTGTGAATTGTAAATTGTACAAGATGATGTAATCTCTATGATGCCTGTTCTGTATTAATTTTTTTTAAACATTTTGTAGCTTTCTCATCGCTCATATGATAGAAAATGGGGACGTATCCAAAAGTGGATGGTAGGCCAGGACTGCCTGTTGTGCATGTTTACGCTTGCAGAATTAACATAGACTTGGAGGGAATAAATTACTAATGGTTTGCAAAGTGTGAACACATTTTATGACTACTGGGGGGGGAAAATCATTACATAAGGTCACATATAGGACATGGTACAGAGGCAAAAAACACTGGAAGTGTGCCATTTTCTCTTTCACAGTGAGTTTGCATTCAGAATGGAATTAAAGTAGCTTTATGTTGGCAAAGGCTTATTTTTAAAATTGTAAATGTTTCTATGTTAACTTACTTCCACAGCCTGCCTTATTCTATATTCTTCTTTGATTAGACTGGCAGGTGTTGTCTTCCACAGATGATCCAGGCTATCTTTCAGTGGCTAATACTTTCTTTAAACAAAACAAAAAGTCAGTTTAAAATTGATATACTATAACCTCCAACTTTTCTTTTCGTCTTTAAAAATATGAGGCGGGGGCAGGCAGTGGCAGCTTACTCTTACTCTTACTCTTCTGGATTCCAAACTTCCAGTTGATTCCAGTGGAACTTTGGGGTGAAAACAAATGCAAGACTGGTTCCTCTATGTGGGATGGCATGGAGATAACAGAGTTGAAATTAGAGCACAGTGCCCCTCAGTCTGTTTACGTTTATTCAGCTGTATAATTAGAGAGCTGTTTTCACAAATTTGTAGGCCTATCTTTGCTTTTCTAAAAGCAAAATTCAGATATGATTCTATAGAGAAGTCAATTCTATAGAAATGTCTTCTAGTTTTCAGAGGGTTAAATCTTCACATTTTTATGCTAACACTTACAAATTGAGCCTATAGTTAGAAGGAATGAATTTTTTTTAAACACTCCAAATTGCATTTAATCCATTTAACAAGGAAAACTGAAACGTGTTCAGGCATTTAAGTTTTTAATATATTTCTCTAGAATAAGAAAAAAAACCAAACCCTGCGGAACGTAAAGGTCTAAGAGCATGAACATTGTTTTTTATTTTTGGATTGATTGTAACCTATTAATAAAAATTGCTATCCTATTAATGTTCAAAACATACTACTCCAAATGCCATGTTGATCCCCCCCCCCAGTTTGTTACATGCTTAATACTGAAATAATGCATGGGATGGGTTTTGGGGAGGAAAAGGAAGTTACCTTTATCAAGTCAGAAGAAATATTTTTTTAAAACTTTGATTAGCTTCCAAAGGTCAAACAATTTTGTAGCTAGGGATTTGCTCTATTTGATTGTTGGCATATTGTAACCATATCATTTGGCTTCTATGCATTGTAATTCCAAAGTTGATTTACAAACTAAACATCACACTGACTTCATAGCCTGCTGAAATTGCAACTGAATCAGCCTACCTAATTTTACTTTTATCTTGTCAATTCCTCCACAAACTGTTTATTTAAAAAGCAGTTATCTCAGGGTCCAAGTGCTTATTATTCATTATTGTTCAATTTATTTGTTAGGGTTTGTCTTCACTGGAGAGTTAACTTGAGGTATAACTCCAGTGCAACCCCATCTCTACACACACAAATCCTTAAATTGAGTGTGGTGCTGCTATTAATGAGAGTTGCCTAGCCTATCCAGGGGTATAAGACTTCATTTAGAGTTAGTACACCTCACCAACTGCTAATACAATCACTCTGTGCAGCTCAAGTGTTGTTTTTGCAGTGTGGCCACTCACTTGAGTTAATGCCTCTCTAGTTAACCTAGCTCAAGTGTAGATAATCAAAGTTAACTGCAGTGATGACATAGCCTTAAACACCAACAGTGTACTTGTGATGCCATACCAACTCTTTGTCATCTCCGGTCTCACGCTAGGGTGAGTGTGTGTAGATTTCCATTTTTGTTCCACTGTGTGATGGCCTGCCTTATCCTGAGAATTTGGTCTAGTCCAGTGGTTCTCAAGCTTTTGTACTGGTCACCCCTTTCACATAGCAAGCCTCTGAGTGCGACCCTCCCCCTATAAATTAAAAACACTTTTAAATATATTTAACACTGTTATAAATGCTGGAGGCAAAGCTGGGTCTGGGGTGGAGGCTGACAGCTCATGACCCCCCATGTAATAAACTTGCGACAAACTGGGGGTCGGTACCCCCAGTTTGAGAACCTCTGGTCTAGTCCCTCAAAGGAGGATCAGGTTGTTAGTTGGTTGCTGGACACCTGGTTGGTGTCTCTTGCCCAGTGATACGGGACCTTCAGTGTCTTGATTTTTTTTTTTTTTTTTGGTCTCTGCATTGACAGGCGTTTGAGTGGATTTCATTCTCCCTTCGATTCTTAGCCATCCGCTTAACTTTCTGTTGCCTTTAAGTAGAATTCAGATCTGCCTAAATGCCTTCCTTGCTTTCAATCATAAGCCAGGCTGTTAGACGAAGCATACATCCTAAACACCTACCCTTTTAAAATGGATAATCATTTACGGTAACTAGCAGAAATGATCACCAGCTTCAACAATCTGCCTGCAGTAGACACTGCAGTGTTCACTAAGTCCTGTGATTGAGAGTGCTGACTGCTTTACAGTTGCTTGACATTTCTTGGTTATGTAGGCAGGATAGCCTTTTGTGATGGGTTATATAGAGGTAAAAATTGCCACACAATGCCCAAGAACATGTGGGTTAATGCACTCTGGAATATATTACTGCAGTGCTCCAGGAAAAGGAATGTTAGTCAACAGTTGCACAGGCATAGTTGGGGGAGTTTTCTGTATACACCAAAATAAGTGTTGTGAATCCTTAAGGAATGCAACCATTTGCCAGTCTTGGCTGCTTCCAAGGGCAGGCCACTTTTAGCCACAAAGGTTACTTATTATGTATTATCCATTTTGAATGTGGGCACAAATCATTTTTGGAGTCAACCACGTGGTTGAAAGTGGTTGAAAACTTGGCTAAAAGTGTAGTATGACTGAGGGACCCTAAGTCCCAAACTAATATCACCTCTATGTACAGTCTAAAAGGTGTTGCTGCAGTGGACCCTTTCTTTACCCTGTTGATAGGTCTGACTGCTAGCACTTTGTGACCTTTTGAGAGGTGGAAGACTGGGGAGGACAACAATTTTTTTTGACAACAAGTGGGTCCAGTTCAAATGTGAAGTTTATATTGAATGGTTTAAATTGAGACTGAATTTCGTAGTGTATTTATTCCCTGTAACTAAATATTTTTTATGTTTAAGATGCTTCTGGCAATTAAAACAATAGTTCTTTCCCCTCTATTTTTGTTCCCAGTTTTCTCACAAAGCTTCCCTTATTTCTAGGTTATAGTAAACCCTCCCCAATCCTTCAATTGAAGAAAGTATCTTGGGGTATCTCAGCTGCAGACTTCTCCAAAGTCAGGCAAGGCCAGGGGAATTAAAGGATCAGGAGCTCCCAAATGAAAAATGTATAGCTTACAGGGTATAATCACACTTTAATTTTGGTTGCTACCCCTAGCAGAAAGTTAATCTTGGTGACAGTGGGACAGAGGTATCTTTATCTGGGCTAAAGTAACTTTGGAATCAACTTTCAGATTCTTGTTTTGACAAACTTCTCTGGAGTATAATTCTTGGGTTTCTTTCATTTTTAGTCTTTAATGAGATTCTTCTACATTTGTTCTAGATATATCATTTTTTTTCTGCCCAACCAGCAAAAGATTGTCCATTTTTTACTTTTAATTAAATAATAGTCACCTCAGCTGCATTTTCTTAACAACATAGTGTGGTAGACACCTGCCTTCGAGTCAAAATGAAATGAAAGCAATGTTCATCTGATGTGAATGCATTCACTTGCTTCAGTTGATTTCCCAAACACTTACCTGTGTGCAAAATAAGTACTGCATGCTCTTCCGTTTGCTTACTTTTATTTTGTTCATCTTTTTTTTTTCATTAAATAACTTTCTACATTTCTTCTTTCTCAGGAAGATTCAGAGAGGGCCAGGTATTCTCTCCGTTCTAGTCATCGTTCCTATCTGGTTTGTGCTAATCTATAAACTCTCCCTTCTCCCTGCTAGGCCTTACTTTAACAAACAAACATTTAACTTCATTTTGCTTTCATTTTTGTTATCAGGGAGCGGATGACTTGGTGTGTGCTCGAAATATTGGCAGTCATAGGGTTAGTACATAGTTTGTGTGAACTTTGATACTACATGCAACTTATCTGTTTTAATCAATATAAATGGGGCAGTGTGTTCACGTCAACATTTTAATTGTATTTTATATCAGTTTATATGAATCTCTTAATAAATCTTTAAAATCTCGTGGTGTTTGTACTATGAGATACCTTGATTTTTTTCCCCCTAAACACTTATTTGTTTGTACTATAATTTAGTTGCTTAAAATAATTAACTTCATGTGAGTTTGGAAATAAGCCCTAAAACATAAGAAGTTCAGATTTTGATTACATGGAATAATTTTACTTCCATTGGAAGCAAACTAAAAAAAAAAAAAAAAATCACATACTTAGTGTTAGTACATGTACAGTACAACTTTAAATAGACTGTATTTAAAACTTAGGTCAAGTCATTGTACTTGCGTCACTTGTTCTTCTACCAAACAAGTGCTGAGAATAAGATTGCATAGTCATGTACATGCATGTTACCTGCACATTAAGATATTTCAAGCTGTCTGTAGCTGCTAGGACTCATCACCTGTGCACTGAGGTCAGATTGGAAGCTGGCTCTTGATAATTGCTTAGAATGCTTTGTTTAGGTTGGTAGTGCTTTTGAAAGAAAAGTGGATCTAAAAATGTTTCTCCTTGTTCCCTTGCCTCTTCCTTCCCAAATTTTCTCTTCTCTTTGCTGCTTTTCTACCTTCTTTTTCTCCCAGTTCCCCCCCCTTCCTTTCTTGTTCATTGTTTCCCTTCCATTTCCCTTCCACTTCCCTCTCACCTTCTCTTCCTCTACCCTAAGAGTTGCTTCCCTCTCTTCTATCTCTACTCACTTCTTACCGCTCAAATCTACTTCTTTACTCTTGCATTTCTCTCTCCTCCTTTCCTATGGTGGCTTTTCTTTCATACTTAAGAGAGAGATCTGTGTGATTCCTATGTTCTGTTTTTTCCACTCTTGCAGAAGTTGAGAATATGCATTCTTAAGTTACTTCATTATTCCGTTTTAGCAGCAGCCCACCCAAAAGAGACTTGCAAGCTCTCTGTTCACTGGCTTCATCCCCATAGAGTACAATTTTGTAATGATGGTGTGAGTGTGGCAGTTCACCAACATCTACAGCTCCTTTCCTTCAATCTGTTTCCCTTTCCTTGACCATCCTCCCCCTGCACCCTCCCAGTCTTATGATAGACTTCCCCCCCAGGCTCAGACAAAAGCAGGACAGGGGCAATGTTTAGAGCTGAAAATCAGTTCTCCACCAGAGCATTTTGTATCTTAAAGTAAATAAATGTTGAGCTTTTCTTATTTCTAGTAAGACTGTGAAGATCCTTAAGTATGATTCACCTCAGTAGTAACATTAAATAATTTATCTATTTGCTTTTCTGTTTCCATCACTCCATAAGAGAGAAGAGTTCTAGAAAACTGAAAGAGGAACATTGTAATGTCAATATTAAGGGAGTGAAATGGCTAATTACAGACTAATGGTTAACTTCAATCTCAGGAAACTTTTTTTTTTTAAAGCAACTTACTGTGTGGACAGAACTGGAACATAAGAAATTGTCAATGTGAGTTTACAAAGAACAGATCTTGTCCAAGAAAGTTGACGTTTTTCAAAAATGACTAAAAGTTTACTAATGAGAAAGTGATAACTGTGTGCTCTGTGGTAAATGGATTTTAGTCAAACATTTGATAAAGTATTGCTGCAATATACATTGATACGCCTGTTTTCCATCTATTACTCATAATAGATCGATCTATCTATCTCTACGTGTGTGTGTGTGTAAATGTAATTACAGAAATTCTGTACAAAAGACGCTTGGCAGAATTTGATTTTTACTTTTCATAATTTCAATAGATAACTATTTTAAAACTGTTTTTCTAGTTTTATCCATTTCAGTGTTCACACTTGCATACTTATGCGTTTTAACCATATTTTGTATTTTATTTTAATTTTCACAGTTGCAGGAAATTATGGGAGTGGGTCAGAGTATTGGGGGAGGTCAGACAATAATTATTTAACGACAGTAGATGTTGAGACTTAAAAACTAAAGGTTTCTAACTATTAAAACTCAAATACCCAATATCACGTGTCAAAATATACAAAATAAATATCCCTAAATCAAAATCTAATAAGTTCCCAAGCAGCATTTTTCTTACTTTGCCTATCATTACATTTTTATTAATATTGATGGAAATATTTTTGTCTGTTTGTGTATATGCATTGAAATAAGTGTTTAGTGACATGTACCGATAAAAATCTAATCCCTTCCAGGCTTAAGAATAGTCAAGCTTCATTCCTCAGTTAATGGAAACAACACTTCAGTTTTGAGGTTAATATTCAATATGCTTTTCTCTAAAGCAGACCATCTCTGACCCTTCTTTTTGGAATACAAACTTAAATCTTGTTGTGGTCATTAAAAGCTAGAAGATGACTAGCTACCAAATGTCAGAAAATAAGAACAAGTCTTAGTTGCATTTATTATTTATATTATGATAGTGCCCATGTAGTCTACACAGCCAATGGCAGCGAGTCTCAGAGCCTGGCTCTACATACTTGGGCTCATGGGTCTCGGGCTACCATGCTATTTAAGTGCTTTCCTAAATTGTGCCCTAAATTAGATGAATAATGGCATATTGTACATTCAAAACCATAGAGAATGTTAGTTACCTTTAAATGTCTGGTCATGTTTTAAAGTTAATATCTGGTGTGGAATAACTTACCTTATGGTATAAAATGTCACGGACTTCTTTGAATGAAATTGCCGTAAAACTGAATTTATAGATTATAAGTGAAGCAAAGAAATTGAGGTACTTAGTGAGAAAACAGAAGTGCTAGATCTTAAATTAATATAAAAGATAAAACGTGCACGTATAATATGTATGCAGGTCTTATTATTACTTTTTTTGAAAAGTGTATAGGAATGTATTCCATGGTAAAAAGCATTAATAAATGCGCCTACCCACACCAGAAACTAGAGAAACTAATTTGGTAGATAAACATTAGCCTTTCTTCATCTTTTCCAAAGAGAAAACAATTTGCTGAAAGCAGTCATGTTGTTTCTCATTCTTTAAGAAATAAAACTCAATTAAAGAAAGCGCAAACTAGTATAGTTAGAAATAGCACAAGAGATGGTCATCCATAGTACTTGTCAGTGGTGACCACACAACTCGCTCTTAAGTTATACTGTCATTCCTAGTGCATAAAATTAGCTTTATTACACTGCTTGCCATGCATTGAGTACAGATTTATATATATCTCTATGCTGAAAGCAGTTTTTTATTTTGAATTTGTTTACTGTTTATATATTTGAAATTCATAATCTTCTACAATTTCATTCCTACGAGTTCATCTTTGGATGTCAGTGGGTCTCATAGCAGCAGAACAAGCACCTCCAGAAGGAGAGATGTTGTGGTGTGTAACCTGGAAATGAGCATATTTGGCTGTGTTCATGTAATATAACATTTTGTTTGCCTACTGATCAGAAATAGTAATAAAATACTGCACACATAATTTTAATGGAAAACAAAGTAGTTACTGAAGTATAAAGAAAAGGAGTACTTGTGGCATCTTAGAGACTAACCAATTTATTTGAGCATGAGCTTTCGTGAGCTACAGCTCACTTCATCGGATGCATACTGAAGTATGTTATTACTTGTATAATACAGCTTTCTTCCAGCAAAAATGTATTTGAAGGCTCTAAGAAATCTGTGGCTTAAATTTTGTTTTGGTTGAGCAAACCAAGGTGGGAACAGTGTTGTGGGAAGAGGTAGTCTTTCAGTTCCTCAAATAAGAGAAATGTGTTGAGATGAGAAATCTTGAAAACCTCTGCATTAAATTAAATGTAGATTCTCTGCTCAGCTTTTGGCAGGAGACAGCTTCAAGCTTCAATTTGTAGATTGCTCCAGCCATATCTTTTTTTGGGGTAGATACTGTACTTTTAGTCCCATGATCTGGACTGAAATAAGAAAATAAAGGATAACTATTATTCTAGCTTAGACAATTTGATCTGTATTATTTATATGCAGATTTTAATGTTTTCTGAAGTTGTTGAATTGTTAATGAATTATTATTAGGGTTCTGTGTGTGTCAGAGATCGCGGTAGTGATGGATTCCGTGACTTTCTGTGACTTCTGCAGCAGCTAGTGTGGCTGAGCCCTGGTCCGTCCAAGCAGCTAGCCCCGAGGACAGCTGCTCAGGCAGCCCTGGGGACAGCCACACCGGCTGCTGCTGCAGTGGCTCTGCAGTCAGCTGCTCGGGCGGCCCCGCAGCCAGCCACACCAGCCGCTGCTGGAGTGGCATTGGCCTTGGGGCCAGCTGCATGGGCCGCTGCTCTGGCAGCCCCGGGTAGCTGGCTCCGAGGACTGCCCAAGCAAGGGCTGATGCGGCTGGCCCCGGGACTGCCTGCACAGCAGTCCTGGGGCCGATGGGACCCGATGCAGCTAGGCAGTGGTCCTGGGGCGGCCGGAGCAGCGGCTTGCCCCCTAGGGCTTCCCCCATGGTGGCAGCTGGAGCAGCAGCAAGCCCCTGGGACTCTACCCTTTTCAGCGGCTGGTGCCACATGCTCCTACCCCCCACCTCCTCTGCCCGCACCCACTCCAACATTCAATCATGGATATTTATGATATAAGTCATGGACAGGTCACAGTAGGTTGACCAGATAGCAATTGTGAAAAAGCGGGACAGGGGTGGAGGGTAATAGGCGCCTATATAAGATAAAGTCCCAAAAAATGGGACTGTCCCCATAAAAACGGTCACCGGCAGTGATTTTTTTTTGTTTGTTTCTTGCCCCGACCTGTCCATGACTTTTACTAAAAATACCCGTGATTAAATCCTAGCCTTAATTATGATCCTATATATGGGGTTTTGATGGCAACAGCACTCTTCAGTCTGACCTATCTCCATGTGTTGCATTTAAAATAACCCTTTTTTAGTTAAAATGGTGCAGGTTAAAAAGTAAACCAGATCTGAGTGGGAAAACAAATATTCAGAGAATCAAATTAACAACAAAGA